CAGTACACTCGGGGGAGACACAACCTGTAATGCCAGGGATGAGACTGATTCCCCCTGAGGGTATCAAGCAGGGCTTCTAAGTGGGGAGACTTTGGGGCAGGTGGCAGGAGGGGTCACCGTGGGCATGTGCAGGCACAGGCTTGAGAGCACAGGGCTCAAGAGGCTTGAGCTTGAAGGTGCAGTGCGAGTAGGAGGTGATGTAGGAATGGTCGGGGGGCCTGGAGCTGAGGATGCATGGTGCAGGGAGGCCACATTTCCATCTTGCCATCCTAGAGTCAGCCTTGGACGATCTGGACCTGAACGAGTTTGGGGTGGCCGCCCTGGAGAAGACTTTTGATGACAGCACCATGCCTGCCCCAGGCAGCATCACAGTTGGTATGGAGCAGTGGGCGGGTGTGCGGGCCCTGCCCAGCCCAGGTCTCCTGCTCACGGTGGCCGTGCCTGGTCCTCACTTCCTGACCTCTCCTGCAGGCGGCAGTATGCTGCAGAGCTCCGCGCCCGTGAACATCCCAGGCTCCTTGGGCAGCTCTGCCTCTTTCCACTCAGCGTCCCCATCCCCTCCTGTCAGCCTCTCCTCACACTTCCTGCAGCAGCCCCAGGGCCACCTGAGCCAGTCAGAAAACACGTTTTTGGGAACCTCGGCATCACATGGATCTTTGGGTAAGAGAGGGCATGGCTCACTGAGGAGACCTGGGTGGGGACCTGGGCTTTTAGAAGATGTCTTTGGCCACTCTGTCCCCATCCTGTCACTCAGGTTAGAAGTAAGCTTTGGGCTGAAAGGCAGTCGGGTCCCTGCTCTATCACTCCTGTGCGTGACCCTGGGCAGGTGATTCAGCCTCCCTGCCGTAGTTCCCTCTGCTGTGAGGTGGTGGTGATCAGGTAAAACCCTGGGAGGAAAGCACCAGGCAGAGGGCCAGGTCAGGGAGAAGCAGTGGTCCCAGAGTCGCCAGGGCCCAGGTCTGGCCTGCCCTGCAGTGTGGTTCAGTTTTGCCCAGTCACTTACAGCGCCAAGTGGCTAGCTCACACCAACCAGGGTCACAAGAGGCCAAGAGAGAAGTTGGGAGGCCAGCAGATGGCCTAGTGGTTAAGGTGCTGACCATGGTTTGAATCCATGCCTAGCGGCTTGAAATGCATACCAGCACATGTGCGTGCATTCCCACCAGAAATCCCAAGGGAATGGAGAAAGGAATTGCAGTGTGGCCATCCCCCTTGGGGGCGATTTCTCACTTTCCCTCTCTGTGTCTTTCTGCCTCACCAGTGAGCACATGTGCTATATGGCAAAAAAATTAAAAATAAAAATAAAAACTTAAAAAAAAGAAAAGTTGGCACAGGCTCTCCCTAGGCTCAGGAGTCTTCCTGGTGGGCACAGACACGAGGGGCATCCAGACCTAGCCCAAGAGGCTGCTTGCCCAACACGGGAAGATACCCGACGGGGCTCTAGAGGACATGTGACGCTCTCATGTGGGAAGCCTGTCTGGAGACTTAGGGGCTCTGCCACCGCAGGCCGGGCGCGGTCTCGGTCAGGGCTGGTGGGGGTTCCCTGAGCTGGTGGGCATGAAGCGCCTTGCGCAGTGCTCCTTGTGGTCCCCGGCCCCTCCCAGCTTCTCGATCACCCGCAGCTGATGCTCTCACTCCCTCTCCCCTCAGCAGCTCTCCAGAGAGACCTGAAGTAACCCGGGGTGGGGGGTGCTGGGCTCCCTGGTCAGACTGCCAGACCCAGAGCCTTTGATGTTCTGATCACATTTGGGAGCTTACCTAATCTCATTGCAGAGTCCAGGCAGCACAATGATTTCTTAGCACCTTTCTGGGGCCGAAGAGGCTGTTCCCTGTACTGCGTTGCTGTGTCAGCTTCAGATTGGCAGCGTTACATTTTTCTGACTTGCCCCAATTCCAGGGGCATCTCTACTTACCCTAGTAGGGTAACAGCGGGCACCTAACCTAACCTAGACAGGTGGGGCAGCAGGCCCTCTGAGGAATCCACTTCTCCAAGAGTAGATGCCCGAGTGGGAAGGGGCGGGCAGAGCCTGCTGTGGGCTGGTCTCATGCAGGTGCAGGGATCCTAGCATCCCCCCGGGTCAGCAGGTGGGTGCGCTGCAGAGCTTCCGTGTGCACTGGTGCTCAGAGGACAGGCCGTCTGGAACGTCCTGGCGGGATTAGTGGGGAAGGGAACTAGAATAATTTGTGTAGGCAGAATGAGGCCAGAGATGGAAGCCAGGGGCTACCCAGAACAAGGAACGGGGTGCTGGGAGCAGTAAGCATCTGTTGCCTGAGTACACCGGGCAGTGGGCGCACGAGCGAGGCGAGCAGCTCGACTGGGAGAGCTGGCCTTCGCAGCCAAAAGTCCTGGCCGCATCTGGGCCCACTGCTGTTGGGTGGTTCTCAGTCTCATTGTCCCCCTCTTTGAAACAAGGCACATGGACTCGGGGCTCCCTGAGTTCTTCCTGCTCTACTCTGCCGTTGCAGGAGGCTCGAGCCTGTGTCTCTCTTCTTGTATCCCTTCCTGGGCTTCGCATTAGGGCGCAGGAAGGCTCCCCGGGCTCTTGCCCAAAGGTGACGTCCCCCACAGAGGTCCTCAGACAGTACCTCCTGGCCCCCTGTGAGGGAACTGATGGCATCCCCATTTTATAGGTGAAGATGCTGAGACTCAAGTGGCAGCTAGGCAAACTAGAGATTAAGGGAGCCAGCTCCCATGTGGCTGACTTTAGTTTGAATCCCTGTTCTAGTGCCCTGAAAAACATGCTGGATGGATATGCTTGCCCCAAACCCCCACAGGATGGAGAAAAGAGATTGCAGTGTCACCCCACTGGGGTGCTTTCTCCCTAATCTCTGTTCTTTCTCTCCAGCAAGTGCATGTGCCCTCTAGCAACTTTTAAGGAAAAAGTTAAGCAGCAGTTAATATTAGCAAGTGGTGCTAACATGTAGATCTGAGCCAGCCCATGGTACCCTCACAGTCTGCCCTCCTGTCCCTGCAGAAACCCCCAGCCTGGCATTGCTGGGGCCTTGCACACCCACCCAGAGGACAGCCAGCCCCGGGGAGTTTTCCAGGCAGGACTGGCAAGGGCCTGGGCCCCAAATCCTCCAGCTGATATTCCTCCCCTCCCTGGGGCAGGTCTGAACGGGATGAACAGCAGCATCTGGGAGCACTTTGCCTCTGGAAGCTTCTCCCCGGGCACTTCCCCTGCCTTCCTATCAGGGCCAGGGGCTGCTGAGCTGGCCCGGCTTCGGCAAGAGCTAGACGAAGCCAACGGCACCATCAAGCAGTGGGAGGAGTCCTGGAAGCAGGCTAAGCAGGTACTGGGCCCCACGCCCACCTGCCTCCCCATGCCAGATGGCTCCAGCCCAAGCCCACCCCATGCAGTGCGGGTAGGAGGGTGGGGGATAGGAGGCCCCAAAGGTCAGAGCAGAGACTACCCTCCCTGCACGGGAGGGTTGGCTTTGCCAGTCAGGACCCTGGGTGGTTGTTGCCACAGATCTAGGGCTCCTGGGTGTAGCCCAGTCTCAGGACCACCTGACCCTACAGGGCTTCAGGTATAGGATTGTAGATTGTGGGGTAGGCCTGCTATCCTGCCCCAGTTTCACTGCCCCTAGTGGGCAGGATGCCAGGTCTGCCTTTTGCCCCTTGCCATTGCCAGGCCCAGCCCCCTTCCCTGTCCACGGAGGGACCTTCTCCTGCAAGTCCTGAAGCCACCGCCAGCCTCTTTCCTGTGCCCTCCCCAGACAGCAGACCTAGCTTCCCAGCAGACCCGCATTCAGAGAGGCCATATAAGCTCTGCAGGGACCAGGGGCAGGGCATCGTGACGAGATGCCGCATGTTGCACCCACAGGCTTGTGATGCCTGGAAGAAGGAGGCGGAGGAGGCTGGTGAGCGGGCCAGTGCAGCCGGTGCCGAGTGTGAGCTGGCCCGGGAACAGAGGGACGCGCTGGAGGTGCAGGTGAAGAAGCTACAGGAGGAGCTAGAACGACTGCACGCGGGGCCTGAGCCCCAGGCCCTGCCTGCCTTCTCTGAGCTGGAGGCCCTGTCGCTCTCCACCCTCTGCTCCCTCCAGAAGCAGCTGCGGGCCCACCTGGAGCAAGTGGACAAGGTCAGCCAGGAGGTCAGGGATGTTGGTGGGATGTGCAATAACCCCGGTCTGCTGGGAGGGCTGAGGGAAGGCTGTGTTTTTGAGGGCGGCGCCAGCTGAGCGGCCCTGAGGTGCCTGGGCCTGAGCGGTGCCCTCTACTCCACATTCCATCCGGCTCAGGCCCAGGTCTGCCCATCTGCACTTCTGGATGCCCTGCTGGGCCTGGGGTGTCGGCACCATGGGGAGAGCATTCGTCTCATAGGCATCGGTGGCCAGGCCCCAGATGTGGCCCTGCCACCTTGGGCATGTCACAGTCCTTGCACCCATGGTCACTATAAAGTCAAAGGGGGCGAGAGGCCGAAGTCTGTGGGAGGAAGAGTGCAGGTGCACCTGGAGTGCTGTGCTTCGGTCTCCACCCCAGGGGCTGAGGCGAGGCTAGGCTGGCGGCGACCACACCCGTGACCACGATGTCACTTTTCCTGCAGGCCGTGTTCCACATGCAGTCGGTGAAATGCCTTAAGTGTCAGGAGCAGAACCGGGCGGTGCTGCCGTGCCAACACGCTGTGCTGTGTGAGCTGTGTGCCGAGGGCAGCGAGTGCCCCGTCTGCCAGCCTAGCCGGGCCCACGCTCTCCAGTCGTGACCCACAGGCCTGGCTCGGCCGGGCCCGTGTCTTCTCCCCTAGAAGTTTTTAAAGTATATATATATATGTGTGTGTGTATATATGTATGTATGTATGTATGTATATGATTATGTATACATCTGTGTGTGTGCGGGTATGTGTGGGCAGCCAGTGTGTGAAGTGTCTGTGTGTATCTGTATATAGACATAGACACACACTTTAAAACAGATTTACCAAGCACTTTGTAACAGAAGACTATTTTGCAGTCCTCCCCTGCCCATCCCCAACCCTTTTGCTGCAGACGAGTCCCCCCTTTTCCCACTGGCCTTTTGGCAGAGAATCCTTTTCTGTCTCTTTTTTATGTAGGAACTAACTCTTTTTAACTTCTTCCTGGGCCTGAGCAGGGGAGGGAGGGAAGCTGCAAGGGTCAGGGAGGAGAAAGGCCTTCAGGGCCGGACCCGCTCACCCCATGCCCCAGACCAGGGCAAGCGGCAGAGGCATGGAGGCCTCCCCTTCCCCAGGGCTGGCCCAGTCCCTGCAGGAAATGCCGTAGGAGGTGTGTGTGCTGGGGGTCTGAGGCGGCAGCCCCTAGGCTTACCAATGTGTGTTTAGTCCTCGGGACACAGCTGAGACTAGCAGGCTGGCATGTCAGGGCCAGCCTGGCTCCCCACACTTGGGCCCTTGAAGCCCCACAGGGGGCAAGGCCCAGTTTTGTCCCTCAGGTTCCTGAGGCCTGAGGTGCTCTCTCAGGCCTTTCCTCCTGGACTCCCCAGAGGGGCCTTCCTGGCCCCAGGGCCACTGGCCAGGCTGGCACTGCCCTCTGTGGCCCTCCAGCCGTCCCTTCCCTCTGGCATGCCCTCATGCAGCCCGTCCCCTCCCTCTGGCAGCTAGCAGGGCAATTGTGGGGAGGAGTGCGGACTGGGGACCGAGCGGGCATAGGCCCTGCCCTCCCTCCCGGAGGGGCTCTGTATGCATTCCTTGGTGCTCTCCGAGTGCAGCTGACGTCCGGCCCGCCTGGGCGGATGCCGTGTGCATGTGTGTGTGCCTGTCCACGTACTTGTGTCTTAGCTTCCGTTTTAAACATTGTCTGTACAGAAAGGCAGCGGGGGCGGGAGGGCAGGTGGGCGGAGGGCGGCAGTCCTGCTCCTAGCACTGGGTGAAAGGCAGGAGCGAGACTGCGAAGGGTCTGGCCCAGGCCCCCCTCGGGCTCAGCACGAAAGGGCTTTCAATGAATTAAGTGAAAAATTTCTCCTTTTTTACAAAAATGCAAAAATCAACAGAGCTCCAAACTTATTGGAAATAAAATATGAACTTGGAGTAGTAGCTTGTTGATGTGGGGGTGAGGGGTAGGGCCCCGAATGAAGGCCTGTGAACTATGGGGTGGGCCAGCTGCGCCCACACCTTTGTGCTGGACTGAGGACTTGGCAGACTCAGCTGTGGACACAGACACCCCTCCTGTGCCCATGACTCCTGCTCGGGGCTGTGACTGGCTTGCTTTTTCCAAAAGGCAGTAGGGTCCCTGACAGTTTCTCAGGGAACACACTCTTCCCCCTCAGGATGAGGTGCACAAAAACGAAGGCGTGGGGCCAGAGGAGACGGCCAGCCGCTGCCTGCTGCCTCATCCCACCTGCTGCAGGGGCGGGATCCAAGGCTTAGGAAGCAAGCCCTTGGCCGGGCTTGGGGAGTGGTGAGAAGACACCCTAGTGGTACCCTAGCTGTCCAGGCTCAGGTTCAGACCTGAAGGGGCCTTGGCAGTCAGCCCGTGTAACCACCTGCTGCTCCCCATCCTCTCTGTGGGCAGGGAGGTCAGGGGACTCAACCAGGGTCTCCCAGCTTGGGTGACAACCGGGCCTCGCTCCAGCTCCGTGCACGGGAGCCACCTCCTCCAGGGGAGGCTGGGGCCCTACTCCTCCAAGCACTGGGAGGCCCTGCTTGTAGAGCACTCCAGAGTGAAGGCTCCTGGCCCAGGCAGCAGACACAGATGAGTGGTAAAGCGCTTAGTTCCAATCCTGCAGCCGGGACACTAGCCAGGCCCTCCTGGCTCCCCGGAGGGGAGCTTTACAACCTTGCTGCTTGTAAAAAGCCTGAGGAGGGGGGTGGTGGCTCCAGGTCTCCTGAGGGCTAGGAAGGAGTCTGGTTGTAACCTGGGCCCCCCTGGAGACCAGCAGCAGATCTCCTAAACAGACAGTGGGTTGTTGCTTTATTTATTTTCACTGAAGTCCTTAGGTGGCAGATGCTGCCCTCGGGAGGTGACATTTGCACACAGGCGGTCCCTTCTGCTTCGGTCCCTCCATGCCAGCCTCACTGCCCCCAGCTCGAACCCCTCCAGAGCCAGCAGTGTGCTTGTTTATGTGGGGGTGAGGAGGTGGGGCCCTCAGCGAGGGCCTTTGACCAATGGGGTGGGCCAAGATCCCCACCTTAGCCGTGGGAACAGCCCACACCTGAGTGGTGAGGCAGCTGGGGAAGCCTAGAGGCTCCCTGGGAGAGGACCTGGGCCCCCTGTAGTCAAGGTCACTGCCTCCTTCCCAGCACAGCGTGTGGCCTTATCTCTGACAGGTCCCCTCTACTAGGTCCAGTGAGCCTGGCCCCCATGCAGTGTCTGTGGCTGGAACAGACGTGGAGACAGATGGCCCCAGGCCCTGCCCCACCAGAGAGCTTTTCCTAGGGGGGGACAGGCAGGAGCCCCTCCCACTGGTGCTGGCATGTGGTGGAGGAGGAGGCCAGACCTCAAGGGAGGAGGGAGTATAGATACTGCTGGCGGTACCCTGTCACGTGAGCCTGCCCTGGCTCCCCGAGTGTTAGGCCAAAGAAAAGCCCCTTCGGGTCCCCACTGCTACCGCCCCAGTCGTGGGGCATGCAGGGAGGCCTGCCTGGCTCGCTGCCGCCTCAGCCGCACAAAAACCTGGGCCTCGCGGTCACCCTTACGGCCCTCCAGCAGCTGCAGGATCGGATCCCCTGTGGAGAAAGTGGTTGGGGGTCAGAGGGGTTGGCACTGCTTCATCCCGCCACCAGCCTGGAGGGACTCCCCTGGCCAGCTTGTCCCAGCCGTGCTTGCGGACGGGGCAGGCAGACCAGGCAGGAAGCGTGCGGTTGCCGCCCGCACCCTCTGACCCGACTGCCGCTGAGCTAAGGAGCCACATCATGCCTCAGCCTCCTCACCCGCTTGATCGTAGCGCCTGCCTCGTTGGCCGGTGTGCGCACACAGCACTTACACCAGCACGTGGGTGCACGGACGTGCAGACTCCTGGTGCCAAGACTGGCAGGCTTTGCAGGGATGTGCCCCTGCTCCGAGATTCAGGCCCCCGCCCAGGTGAACCTCTTAGTGCCAGCCCCCTGCCAGGGAGTGTCACTGACACATCGCCCCATGTACACTTCACTGGGCTCGATTAGACCAGGAGATCTGGCCCAGCGGGCATCCTCACACGGGCTCCCACCTTTCACAGACACAGACTTCACCTCTGGGACCCTGGCCTACCATTGGGTGCAGGGTATGTGAGGGGCAGGCGGGTCTGCGGCACCTCCCCAGGCTCCTCAGAGCCAGTCATGCCAGGCACCGTGTGCAGCGGTAGGAAGGCCTCCCCCTCCAGGTCGTCGGCCCCTAGCGTGTCGTGGTCCAGTACGGTGAGCAGGAGGCACGCCCCGTCTTTCTGGCACGGCTCAGCAGGCACCAGGCTGGTAGGGACACAGGAGCTCAGCTGTGTGTCCCCAGCAGGGCTCCCCGCCCCAGCCCCAGTACATGACCCCCGTGCTGAGGACAGGCCAGGGCAGTGGGATTTGGATTACAAAAGTCAGTTCTCAGCCTGGCACGTCTAGGCTGGGGGGCAGGACTGACACTTCAGGGGGTCCTGTGTCCCCAGGCCTACCTGTCCTGGGGAAGGAGAGCAGGTGCCTGAGGACCCTTCCCTGGGAGCCTCTGAGGTCAGCATGTGGAAGCCCACTCCTCCCCGGGGGAAGTCCCAGCGTGCTCGTCTCGGGAGTCTCTTGGCCCCAGTCAGGAGTGGGCCTGCGGGGTGTCCAGCTGGGAGATGCGTGGGGACCCACTCACAACTCAAAGGTCTCATCAAACAGTGGGTGAAGGTCCTTCTTGTGCTTCTGGCTCTCCCGGGGGGCCAGCTCAGGGAACTCATACCTGGGCTCCAGGGTCAGCTGGACAAAGGGGTCACTGGAGCCTGGAAGGGGCCCAGCAGAGGGGACACTGGCTGAGGGACACCCAGCCTCCCAAACCCCGGCTCCCTGCCCCCTGCAGAGGAAACACCCAGAACCTGAAGGCCGCTGAGTCCGGGAGGGTGTGGGCGCGGGGCAGGCGGCCTTCCCTCACCGTTGGAGTCCAGGGGCAGCAGGCTGGAGGCGCTGAGCAGCTCCACGCGCAGCTTCTGCTCAGAGGTGCGGTAGGAGGCCTTGATGGTGACAGCCCCCAGCTGCTCAGAGGTGGTTTCCGCCTGGGGAGCATGGCAGGGTCTGCTGGAATCAAGGTCAGGCTCCAGGGCCCACAGTGGGAGCCGGGGGCGGGGCGGGGAGGCCTCACCTGCTGCTGGATGCGGCTGCAGAAGTACTTCCGGATGAGTTCGTGGGTGGAGGCAGCCTGTAGCTCCAGGACCCCCTGCAGAGCCTGTGAACAGCACATCCAGGGGCCACCTGAACTCTCATGTCTGACCACAGTCCAGTCCTGCCCTCCTGAAGCTCCCAGCCAAGAGGTGAGCCATCAGTTTGCAATAGAAAGTACTAGGGCTGGGGGGGCCCAGGTGTAGTCCCACCAGCCTAGGGCCCCGCCCCTGGTTTAATGCTCTATCACTGTCTTACAGTTGGGAATGTGTGTGTGTATATATGTATTTACATATAAATTGTCAGAGGCCATGAGCCCTCTCCAGAGAGAGGGAGAGAGGCAGAAGGCACCCTCAGCAGGGTGTGGTCACACTGCAAACTTTTCTCCATTTCTTGGGATTTTGGACACACAAGCCCATGTGCCTGGCATGTTTTTCAAGCCTCCAGAGCCCAGATTCAAACTGCAGTTGGCCATGTGGAATCTGTCTCCATTAACCACTAAGCCACAGGGCCGGCTGGCCCCGAGGTACTTTTTTTTTTTTTTTTTGAGAGATTTTCGCTATAGGGCACGTGCGCTCGCCAGACAGAGACATAGAGACAGAAAGCGAGAAATCACCCCCCAGGGGGGATGGTCACGCCACAATCCCTTCTCCTCTCGGGATCTTGGGCATGCACGCACACGTGCCCGGCATGAGTTTTAAGCCACCGGGTCCAGGACGCGAACTGCGGTCGACTACGTGGGAGTCCCGCGACATAGCCATTACGCTAACTGCTGGTTCCCAACCCCAAGGTCCTTTTGAGTAAGATGCCCACTTTTTCTTTTGCGCTAGACCCCATACATTAATACATTATGCAGTGAGTTCTGGAGGCAGGCGGGTGCATGAGGGCAGGCTTCTTCCCTACCTGGAAGGTGGCTGTGTGCAGGGACTCAGGCGGCAGGCCACAGCCCTCAGCATGGAAGCAGATCTCCAGGTTCTGGGGAGACACCAGGGGTGAGTCCTGGCACCCTCCCAGTGTGGGGGTGGGGTGGGGTGGGGCTGGCTGGCGCTGTGATTACCTGCAGAGCGATCTTCAGCCTGCGTGAGGCCAGGGACGAGGTGCGCTGGGCGGCGGCTGCCTCCTCCAATACCATGAGCGTGTGAGTCCACAGCAGGGTGAGCAGGCTGGGAGGAGCAGAGTGGTACAGGCACAGTGGGGAGCAAGGACGGTCTTGAAAGGGAGATCTCTGGGACCCAGAGTCCAGCTCCCACACCCACCCTCCACCAACACCTGCCCCACAGGTGAGGCTGGGGCCAGGGCTGGCAGCCAGGAAGGAGGACAGGCAGGGACAGAGGGGGTTAGTCCTATCCGACATGTGTCTCGGCCTCAGCGAAAAATCCCCCTCAGCAGGGCCCCCTGGCACGCAGGGCCCAGTGACAACTTCATGCCTCAGGACTGAGTAGCCAGAATGAATAGATCTTAACACAGAGCATAGACAAGCACCTTGTGGGGAGACTGCAACAGACCAAGACACAGCCCTGAAAAGGATGTCAAATAGGGGCCGGCAGGTGGCATGGTGGTTAAGGACACTGGACTCCCACACAGCCGACTGTGGTTTGAGTCCTGGACCTGGCAGCTTGCTTTCTCACTTTCTCTCTCTAGTCAAATTTAAATAAATAAATAAATAACATAATTATTAAACAAAAAAAAGAATGCTGGGGCCAGCGGATGGTGTAGCAGGTTTGTTGCTGGACTTTCACATAGCCAACTGCAGTTCGAGTCCCGGACCCAGTGACTTGAAACACAGGGCATGTGTGCGTGTGCGTGCGTGCCCAAGATCCCAGGAAGAGAATGGAGGACAAGGGATTGTGGTGTGGCCATCCCCCCGGAGGGTGATTTCTCATTTTCTATTTTTCTCTCTCTCTCCAGCAAGCACATGCACCCTATAGCAAAAATATCTCTCAAAAAAACAAATTTCTTTCAAAAAAACAGAAATTAACTGCTTTCTGTTGTGTTTTTATCATAGGGCACATGTGCTCACTGGAGACAGACAGAGAGCAGGAACATGAGAAGTCTTCCCCCGGGGAGATGGCCACGCCACAGTCCCTTCTCCATTCTTTTGGAATTTTGGGCACGCATATATATGCACCCAGAGTGATTTTCAATCCGCCATATTCAGGACTTGAACTGCTATCAACCATGTGGAAGTCTAGTGCCTTAACCACCACACTACCTGCTGGCCCCACATCCACCAATCTTTTTTTTTTTTTTTTCCACCAATCTTCTTTAAAAAAAAAAAAAAAGATTTTTGCTATTAGGCATGCGTGGTCACCAGAGAGAGAGAGGGAGGTAAAAAGTGAGAAATCACACACACACACACACACACACACACACACACACACCCAGAGGGATGACCATGCCATAACCCTTCTCCATTGTCCTCTCAAGTTTTGGGGCATGCATGCACACCTGTCTGGCATGACTTTCTAAGCCACTGAGTCTGGGACTTGAACCTCAATTGGCCACAAGAGAATCCAGCAACTTAACCATGACTCCATCTGCTGGTCTCATTTTTTTGTTTAAGCCGCCAGGTCCAGGACTTGAATCTTATTTTGCCATCTGCTGGCCAGCCCTTTTTTTTTTTTTTTTTAAGAGAATTTTGCTATAGGGTACATGAGTTCACCAGAGAGACAGAGAGACCCATGTAAGTAGCTGTTGTACACCGGGCAGTGTTTTAAAGGCTTTGAGACAGCACTGAGCAAATCTCCTGTCTTAGTGGAGATAAATTCTGGCTTATGTGGAAAAAAATAATGATGCCAAACAAGTATCATAATATGGGACCACAGATGGCATAATGGACTCCCATGTAGTTGACCACAGTTCAAGTCCTGGACCCGACGGCTTAGAACTCATGCTGGGTGCGTGTGCATGCATGCCCAAAATCCCAAAAGGAGAATGGAGGAGAAGGGGGACCAGCAGTTACCGTAATGGCTACATAGCTCGACTACCACGTAGGCCAACCAATGGCTACATCGCTGGACTCCCATGTAGTCAACCACAGTTCAAGTCCCGGACCCGGTGGCTTCAACACACGCCGGGCATGTATGCATGCACACCCAAGGTCCCAAGAGGAGAATGGAGGAGAAGGGATTGCGGCATGGCCATCCCCCCTGGGGGGTGATTTCTCGCTTTCTGTCTCTGTCTCTCTCTGGCTTCCTGGTGAGCACAAAAACCTCTCCAAAAAAAAATAAAAGCATAATAATATGGCCTAGGAAATAAAGATCGGGCTCACATGGGCCCTGAGGTACCAACGAGCAGGACTTTTGGAGGGGAGAAGCCGGGTCCTGCTGCCCCAGGGCCTGGATTCCACGTGGAAGCAGATCGTCCCTGACATGTCGCTGAGGTCACCTGCTTTGTGCGGAGCTGTGTGCACTCAGCAAGTCATGTGACCCACCAACTCCTTAGTAAGCCCAGAGCTGTCTACACCTGCCCTGAACAGCTGAGTAACTGCTCGAGGCCACCAGGGGGCAGTAAAGCTGGCCGCAGAACCAGGTGGCCCCAGGTCCTGTGCTCTCCGTCTTCACTCCCTGCTGCCGCAGTCCTCGGTCCCTGCTTTAGGAAACCCCTTACAAGGGGCCAGCCAGTGGCATGGGTGGCGTGGCCGCGTCCCACATGGCCAACGGTACAGTTTGAGTCCCAGACCTGTGACTTGAAAACATGCCAGGCACGGGTGTGTGAGGGGAAGGCGGGGGAAGGGAGTGCCACGTGGCCATGCCCCAGGGGGTGATTTCTCTCCCTCTCTTCAGAGAGCACATGTGCCCTATGGCAAAACTTAAACCAAAAAAAAGGGAGAGAGATTGTGACTAAAAGTTCCCCCGGATCAAAGGCAAGGGCCATTGCTGTGAGCTTGGGACAGCAGAGCAGTTAGGGAGACCCTGAGCACAGGCCCAGAGAACCAATGCTCACAGCTGGGCCGTGAGAACCAGGCAGGCTTGTGCAGCAGCAGTGAGTTCCCGCCCCAGGGAGCGAGGCCCCAGGGAGCGAGGCCCGCGGAGGCTGGCTGTACCCTCTCAGGGAGGTCACCAAAGGTTTCTCTCACACATGCACTCCCGAAGACTGGATGCTGAGGCCCAGGAAGGGGGTGAGTGGGAGGAGAGTGGAGGCGACGGGGTGCACTGGGCAGGGGCGGCTGCAGACCTGCTGAAGTTCTCCTGCACCAAGTTGGTGTTCATGTAGCAAAGCTCCACCTCCAGGAACTTCATCAGGGGCAGAATGGCCTGGGGAGAGCAGGGAAGCGCCTCTAGCTCTGGCCATTTTTGTGCCCTCCCCCATTCCCTTGTCCTGAGCCCATAGGAAACAGGGCAGGGGCACTTGTGTGCAGGGTCTGTGATGTCTGCCAGGCCTGGCCCCTGCCCGCCTCCCTGCCATCCTCTCCCTGTTGCTCAGTCTGCTCTGGCCACACTCGTCCTGCCTCAGGACCTTTGCTCCTGCCGTTCCCTCTGCCTGGAACACTTTTCCCCTAGAAATCCTCATGGTTCCTTCTTCCTTTGCCTCCTGTAATTTTCCTCTTTAGCACAGCGTTATCTGGCACGCTGTGTGAGCTGCGTCTCACATCTGTTTACAGCCCTGGCTGTAACTCCTGGAGTTCTGTCTACACACACTCATTCGGCTCCTCCACCTCCCCTGCTGGAACACAAGTCCTAGGAAAGCAGGGATTGTGTTCGTGGTTGGCTGATCTATCCCACTACTTAGGCCAGTACCCGGGGTAAAATAAACGCTGAATAAAATGTCCGGGAGTTAATAACTAGCCTTCCCCGAGACCACTGAAGAGTTGCGTCACCATCCCACTCACACACGCAGACACTGAGGTCCCTGGCTTGTGTAACAGGACAGTGAAGCCAGCGGGCAGCTCAGAGGGGTGCCAATGCAGGCCTGCTTGGGCAACGAAGCTCCAGCTGGGGCCAACAGATGGCGTAATGGTTACGTCACTGGACTCCCACGTAACTGACCGAGGTTCAAGTCCCGGACTCGGCAACTTAAAATGTACGCATGCATGCCCAAAATGCCAAAAGGAGAATGGAGAAGGGATTGTGGTGTGGCCATTCCCCCCTCCCTGAGAGTGATTTCTCATTTTCTGTCTCTAAGCAAATGGACACGTCATTCAGCAAAAATCTCAAAAAAAAAAAAAAGAAAAGAAAAGAAAAAAGAGAAAACAAACCCCCATTCTCCCCGACTGGGGCCCCTATCCAAACAGCAGTGCTGGGAGAGCCCGTGGGGTGACCGGCTCCGCTCCTAGAGGAAACAGGTCCCAGGAGAGAACACGGCTGCCCAAGTCGGGCGGACTGACTTACCCTGCCCCTGCCCCTGCCCCTGCCCACCCATCCCCTTCACGACCTTAGACCCATGGAGCAGGCAGGGTCGGCGAGCAGGGCACTCACATCCTCGGGCAGGACAGACTCCCTGAGGCTCACGAGTTTCTGGATGTGCTTGGCGATGCCCCCCTCCAGCTGGGGCACCAGGAA